GTGTTGTTATATTTTTCTTGTCCTCCGGGATCATCGATGCCAGTACTATTAAGTGTTTTGAATTGAGTAATGCTCTTGAGTACCGCTCAAGCCGGTGCTAGGGGACGTGAGGGATGTTGCACTTATTCATAATTCCTCATGTGCAGACTCAATCAAACCGAGTCTGCAATATTCATGTAATTTTGTTGTGATTAGTGCTTCCGAGGAATCACTTTGTTTGCAGATCTTCTTTTCAATAAAATGAAAATAAAGTTAAAATTCTGAACAAAAGAAAATAAAGTACGTTTGCATGTTTTATAAGCAACGAATATCTACCATTTTAGTTTTAGGTATATTGAATGATTTATATTGTTCTAAAATACTGTTTAAATAGACAATTAATCTAGCAAATAAAGACGGAACAATAGGAATGGACTTGCTCTATATTACAATATTAGATGTTGCAAATATAGAGGAAACTAAACGATAAAAGTGAATACTATAGGCAATGGCAGCGTTAGATGTTATATTATAATGATAATAGTTTCAAATGAAAATACCATGCATACACGTATTTGCTTTTCTTTCTTCATAATTGTATGCAAGTGTGCAATTGCACTATGATTTCAAATCACTCTTTCAATGTCAATACGTTCATTTGAATTGCATCTTTTTATTAACGTCATTTGTTCAGAACGTAGCAGTTATTTTTTTGTATTTTATTTCAGCAATTTGCGGACAAATAATGAAGGGTTATTCTTTTTGCCCCCAATGAACCTGTTCATTATAACAAATTATTCATGTTCCTTCTTTACAATAAGAAATAAGCGGTATAATGTGTATACAAATATGTTCATGAAAGAAAATTAAAGTGTCGTTATGCCCGATCATCGAGTGTTCTGGTAAAATTAAAATAACTTAACGTTTTGTCAAAGTTGTTTTCAGTTTTTATGATAAACGTCACCCGAAAAGTGAATAAAACTTTTAACCCACGTAAAATTTATAAATTTCCTCCGGAAATAATTCGGTTATGTTCATTTTATTAAAAGAGTGGGGGAATTCTTATTTTTGGCAGTTTTTATATTTTATCATAAACATTTGTCATTATAAATTAAAATTATAAATAAATTTATTGCATGCTGAATACTAACGAACACAATGTCACTTTAAAATGATATAAAAATTAAAACAGAAATCAGCTATCATTTTTAAAAATAATATATTAAAATAAATGATTCTTCTGAAAAGAAATATAGTTTAAAAAAGATCACGAGTGTGAATTGAATATGCTCTCTCAAATTATATGTTTTAACCTTGTGATATTGTTCAAAATGTATCAGGTATCACAAAAAGAAATCGTCTCATGGCAGTTCTCGCCTTCCTAACATTATAGGAATTTTAATACTTTTTAATCATTTTACTTATTTATTTGAAAAACAATATGCCGACAGATGAACGTTCAGTTCGTTAACATTCATCTTATTATTATAGCAAGAAACGTTTTCATATCTCAAATGACATTTTTCTTACTAAGGAATATGTGGAAATTTAATTGATTACAAAATGCACTGAAGTCTTCTTAATGATAGAATTTATTTGCGTTAATGTGTCTAATGAGATATTTATGCTTTTAACAAATTGATCACCTTGGAAATTGGTAGAAATAGCTCTTGTCTCATAGGAAGTTTTCCTTTATACTTCATGAATAAATGTGTTCATATATACAGATTTATTATTGCTTGCGGGAATAATGGCATATATTGACGCATTCTGAAGACTTAACACACATTACCTATGTCAATTAAATATATATTTATGTCAGTAAATAGTTTGATGGTAATATTATGATATAAAACACAATTGTGCTTATTTTCTGTTTTCTATCCCTATGAAAGTATTAAAAGCTATATGTAACTATATATATACACCACAATCACGGCAAAAAAGGGAAAATTATTATGAACATCACTATAAAGGTGAATATCATCACCACGTTAGATTATATGTAAATGTTAAATCTATATGAGTTTAAGATATACTATGCTCAAATTTGATACCAGAAATATTGATAATCACTATACAGTCTCTTTGTAAATATAAAATTAACATATTTTGACTTCACAGAAAATAGATATGTTATGTACACTATAGGTGGCCACAATATGAACATTGCGTTTATTTTAAAAGAAACTTTTGTCCCAATACATAGTTTATTCATTTCGTTATTCAAATTAGACATGTCCGATAAGAATTTAACAGATTTCAATAATTTCTGTGATTCAAATATTTTACGAGGATGTGCATAGTGTATATTTAAAATAACATCTTAAGAAATACCTTGGGTGCATCATCTCAATACAGAGAATGTTTGATTACACTCGTTTACAAATGCAATATTAATCTTTTTTGGAAACAGTTTTCTTGCTTTCTTTTTTCAATACTCTTTCTTTCAATATCATTGCCTGCTTATGTCACTGTACAATTTAAATTGATTTCTGTATAAAAATATGCGTGTCTAACAGATTTAATCGGATGAAAGTGAAGTGAGGTGTCAAACTCGTTTAAGATGATAAAATGTATACAGCTATACTTAATGAAATGATTTCTTAACATTTGAAATTTGTAAAACGAAGTTAACTTCATAACCCGTTTGGCTTTTCTTGAAGGATTTGTACACAAGAATATTTATGAAATATAACATACATACATTTTGTTCTGTTTACATGTATGAACAAAATATTTCGCTGCTATCAAAAATACATTTTTATTCGTTCTAGGCATTCCGTATTTGTTCTCATTAGATTTTAAACAATAGCTTTACAATCCAAATGGATGTACATTAAATACGCGTACATGAATTTAAAATAATATTTGAGCCGCGTCACAACAAAACCAACATAGTGGGTTTGCGACCAGCATGGATCCAGACCAGCCTGCGCATCCACGCAGTCTGATCAGGATCCATGCTGTTCGCTATCAGTTTCACTACTTGTAATAGAGTTGGTAAGCGAACAGCATGGATCCTGATCAGACTGCGCGAATGCGCAGGCTGGTCTGGATCCATGCTGGTCGCAAACCCATTATGTTGGTTTGGTCGTGACGCGGTTCATTTAACGAATATTAGGCTTGCTGCAGACCGCGCCCTACGTCTATGAATGTTTCTGTAAAATTACAACAATTTAATTTATGATGTACGGCGCTTTATGTGAACACTTAAATATAATCTTAAGATTATATCAGTACTTTTTTACAGCACTGACATGTAACAAAGTAAATGAAAAAGGGTTCTCATTTCATTACTATGCAAAAATAAAGCTATGTTTTATTACGCAGTTTCAAACAGCTGGTATTATCTTTTCTGAACTATTTTTGCTGGCAATCTTTAATGCATAGAGATATGCCTCATATTACCGCAATGGCAATTATTGTAGTGTGTGTGTTAATGGTAATAAGTATTAACTAATGCGAAATAATCTATAAAACAACATCGTTTTAGCTTATTTGTCTAGTATGATGATTCTCTTAAACATTGTCTGCAAACTATCTAGGACCCGTTTTTCTTAAAGACATTTCAGCCAAAAAGGGTAATGTTTAGTTGAGGCTTAGTTAAAAGATTAAGTTTCTACAATATATGTCATGATAATACCAACTTATGTTCTGAAATGATTATCTAGAAGTTAGAAGTGACTCAATTTAAATTCAAGCCAACAGTTACTTAATGAGAACGTAACGGCACATGTTTAGTGGTAGTTATTGTTCATCATTCACATAAAAATTTATATGATATATAATCTGCGATATGTTCACTTAATTTAGACATCACAATCTCACAAGCAAAGATTCAAATGTGAAAGACGATTGTACAATTAACAAAACTAAGTACATTTTGACATTTTTGACCCTATTAATGTTGACAAAATGATAAGAACTTGTCGGGTACTAATCGAGTTAAGTCATTTAAAGCTTAGCTTCTGATTTCTAGTAAAAAATTAAATCGAATCTCGTTTGCTGTAAGAAATCGCCTTTCCATTAATGCTTGCTTTATTTCAAATTCCTAATTTACTCGAAATAAAGTAAATTTTCAAGTTTCAATCTGTTCTATAAATGCAGTGTTATATCCATGTCAAAAGTGATATTTGTTCCCATAGTTAAATATACAGAGCAATATGTCTAAAACAAGGTGATAAATAATTTTGTGAAATAAACATATCATATCAACTATATTCTGAGTTGCATATCATTAATAATATCAAATATTATATATTTATGACAACTTTTTGCATTCATGGAACTATTTTATTTGATGATACATTTCTATATGTTCCTACATTCACTGATGATAACAATTATTTCATGTTTTGCAGTCCCTTTTTAAGAAAAGAACACACATATCTTTAATCCAGGATTTAGAAATTATGAACATTGTAACTAAATAACACTGCAATTGCATAATGAAAATTATACCTTAAACTGATAATTTCAAAGCGAAGTCGAAATAGATAACATATCGCGAATATATGTTTTAATATTTCTTTTAAGAAAATGAAACTGAGATTATGAATATTCACTGAATAGCTGAAAATTAGAATCTTACTCCTCTTTAATTTGGCCCAGTATTTATATGATACAGTTTTTTCTTTTAAATGTTTAGACAACTTTGACGCAATATCAAAGAAAACTTACAGTTTACGATAAATGCTCAGTAGGTAATGCAACATTAATTGTCTAAGTAAATAATCTTTACGAGACTGTCCTTGAAGTTCGCGATATAGTCTTTAAAGGCTCTAAAATCACGATAATTGTATAAAAAACAGTGTAAAATGGTAAAAACAACAAACGTTGATTAAGTCTTGCATTTTTAACCAGTGCAATTTTCCAAAAAGAAAAATATTGGTATATATATTAAAACCAATTGAAATTGCAAAAGCTTGAATGTTACTTTTGTCTTTGAATTATAAATGTTTCATTTAAAAATATATATGCAAAAAATGTACAGTCAGATAAATAACATTTTTACTTACCATGGCAATTTTCATGCGTAAAACACGTATGTCATTGATAACAGTTTGGCAATCACTGGATCTTTTTCCCCATCCGGGAGCTCTTTTCCCCCAACCTGGTCGTCTTTTTGTGGCTTCAAATTCGTTATACTCGCTTCTTTTGCCCCATCCAGGTCTACGCTTTATAATTTCTTCATCGTTAACATCATTCGACAATTCAGGACCGTAGCTTCTTTTCCCCCAACCAGGAGCTCTTTTTTCTTCAAATGTTTCAAAATCATTTGTATATGTTCTTTTCCCCCATCCCGGTCTTCTCTTATTAAGTTCTAAGTCGTCGGAAAAGCTTCTTTTCCCCCAGCCTGGACGACGTTTATAAATATCAGTATATGAATTCTCGTTTGCTTTGTTAAGTTCATACCTCGATAAATCTGATAAAACGGACTCTAAGTATCCCAGCCGGTTAGGCCTATCTTCCCTCTTTTCCCAGTTTGGACCTATTTTTTCTAGCGAACCACCATCTATACTATCAGCATGTGTTACTGTTGGTATTGAGCAAAACGTTAAAACCAGTAAAACAAAGTCCTGAATACTCATCTTTTCTTCCCCTTTTCCTAGCAATTCCGACAAACTAATATAAAATAACCAATATAAAATAGAAAGCCGCGCTTAAATACTTAGAACATTGCGCCGAGAATCATAGCAATTGGAAACATTCTTACAACGTCATTACCACGTGACTTCTTTGTAAAACACTCTCTGTGCTAGGATTGTCAAATCCCACATCAGGTTTAGACATACTTAATGCCAATAAAAACGCGCCATTAAATGCAAGCTAATGTTATTAACTCTATTCGTGCAACAATTTATTTTTTACGGCTGTATGTCAGGAACTATTGAGGTATTCAAAGAATGTCTAACATAAATTCAAATGTGAGCCCGTACTGATATAATTGTCTTTAAATAACACCCCTGCTGCTTCGTTTTATCTTCTTTAACAAGAATTGCCGAGGCTAATTGTAGGTAAGAGAATGCGAAGCTTTTAAAGTATTCAATTTCTTTCCGTTTGTGGAATTAAAGAGAGAATGTCTTTCCGATTATAATTGACAATATACACACCCTAAAAAGTTGATTTATTTAAAACTGATGTACTAAAATAGATTTAATTAAAACATTTCATTAATAAAGGCGAAAAAAAGAGATTTAATATAAAAATAACAGACTTGATGTTTGTCGCCAAATTACACGGTTGGTAAATACATAGCATCCATTAATATTGGAATACAAACGCATTCCGATTAATGCATCAAAGAATGATTTCGTCAAAAGCTATGACGTTTCTATTTCAAGAATTATATATCAACTGACGCAAATGCTTCCGTACGTTTTATCAAATATGAAAAACAAGATCAACATGACAGTCAATGAATTTGAGCATTATTTTAGTTTATCTTTAGAAAAAGGTCTGTTTAAACGCTTCCTACAGTATCCGTTAGATTTGCCATTTTGTAATAGAAAATCCAAGTTATTTGTTAATTTTAGCCATTTGCTACAGTTAACGGACGGAATGGAACCCTTTTTCAGGATTTATTAAATTATTGCATGAATTTAGAACATGAAAACGGAAAAAATTCCAGACAAAATCTGGTGATCGAGTTTCTGTACGTTTATATGAAAGTCGTAGCAAACGTCCATAAATACGAAGATAAATAAATAAATAAAATTGCAAGATTGTCTCTTACTGCCAGCTGTATAAGCTAAATAAATCGTACTATGAACTTCTCTGATATGATAAGAGTTGTTGCATTGCCTGTAACAGCCGCCGTGCAACGATTTTCTTTAACCACCATGTATGTTGTTTGAAAAAAAGGGAACGTTAGTATAAATATATGTACAGTATACATTATGGTGTGACGTTAATTGGAATATACGTGCCATGCATAACATCACAATTATGCATGCCTTTGCTATTTAATTTCCCTTAAGAGGAATAAAAATTGTTCAATATAAATTCAGTTTCAAGGATTCAGAAATGTCAAATCAATGACATAAAGCGCTATGTCAAACAATTTAATTTCGAATATAAGTATATATTTTACTTTATCATATTTAATATTATGAGCCATTGTAATTGATTTCCATTTCTTTTACCATTCCAGAGCAAATGGTGGTGCTATAAACAGCAAAATTCAATATAAATTATATGTTTTTTTTACAGAATACCCGTAACTGGCACCATTAGAAACTGAACAAAATGACAACTTGTTGAGATGCATTCACTGAAATCAAAAGGATATTGAGAAAAAAAATCTAAAAGTTAAAGACCCCACGAGAGCAATTTTAACACAATTTATAAGTGAAAATCGCTCATATTATTTAATTGAGTATGTTTGTGAGCGACGATATTGTTGTGCAAATTTAATGCGTAAGTATATTCTTTTAAATGTACGCATACGAATTGTTCATATTCACATCAACTAGACTTTAAATCATATTTTATAAGATGAGTTTCTCTTGAGCGAGTAATGTTAAACTTGCTTTATAGTAATTTCTTGTCATATCATCCAAGTTATATCATTCTGTCATTACAAATGATGAAAACTGCAAGGTATTTGACGTTGAATGCTGGACTTTGAACCACAAAGGATATATATATTTATGAGGGCGAGAAGATACAGTTCACAAGGCAATCAAACTTGTCTGAATCTTGGTATAAAATTAATGATACTTATTTCCTTAACAACGTGTAAGTAAATTAACTTAGTTTTTGTTTTAAAAATTGAAAGGCGTATGTACGAATGAAATTGGAGTAAACAAGATATTCATTACAGTATTGATGTACGTGTAGCATGTACGTGAATCGTGGTAATAATTCAACTAAGATTCCACTTGTATATACCCTTTCATTTAAGCGAAAAGCGAAGAGGAAGAGTTACTTCCCTTACCGGATGTGACGTAAATGGGTGATTGTACTTTATAAACCGCATAAATTGTTAGCTTATTGAAACTTAAATAAATAAATACTGAACGTAAATTACGATTATAACATGGAAAATTTGACTTATGCATACATAAATTTCATATCAAGAATATAAAATAAAAATACAAAAAGATTCAAGATTCAGATTAATTCTTGCTACGGAGTAAAACATCGGACTTTCAAAGTGAATATATATCTATTAAATTTTCTCTAATGCCAGAGTAACCTAATATAAATTTAAATGGACATTTTCTAGTTTTCTGTATGATTTTTGTCATTTAGTCCGTGGTTATGTGAGAAACATGAAAATAAGGTTGTCTGTATTTTTAAAAATGGTTGTTAAAGCTTTAATAGAACAATATCAGAATGAATTCTGCCAACACTTGATTATTTTTCATTATGCCATGTAAAAAATCTTTCAAAGAACAAGTGTAGGATATTATTTTATAAATATTCATGAAAGAACGAAAACCATATGGCAATGACTTTTATAACGTAAGATTTGCAACAGACGATAAAAAGATAATTTTGATTCTACAAATCTATTCTTATGATTATGAAAATAACGACCTTTTCCTATAGTACCTCATTTTATAAATAAATAGATGTGTATATATAAGCGGGCCTTAACATATCAATTAACAAGGTGCATATGTTATTTATTATACAAGCGGCTCTTGGCTGTGATATCATAAACACCAGGGTGCATATTTTAGAGTTATAACATTGTATCAGATTACGTCACTTTTGTTAGTTGTCAAAATATTTATGATCCGAATTTGGTTATGGATCATCCTAGGGACTTTATTGATCATGCCTTACTGATTTGATACTCCGGAATGACGACCAATTGGCACAATAAAAAATTCGTAAAACTATAATTCAGTTAATAACGAATTTCTGTGTACATATTTCACAACTTGTTTTTTTAAATGATTTAAAAAAATTGATAAGCAGAATATGAATAAAATAAATATCAAGTTGAAAATATTACATTACCAGATTTAATATAATTGGCGGATGTACAATATTTGGAGAGTGGCTTTTTTGCCGACACAAATAGTGTACAGTTATTTACATTCAAAAGAATCTTTACTTTTTATGCCTGAACATTTTTTCGAAACACTATAGATTTATATTATTGTTTTTCCTTGTCTTAGTAATGCTTAAATCAAAGTAATATTTAATCAACCAGCATCTTGCAATTAATTATTACGCAGCCGTTTGTCGAAACTACAGAATACTTACATTTTTGAAAGTCAAAATATCTCTTTGGTACTATATATTAGGAGAGACATAGATATCTGGTATTTTCAAGTTGGTACGATTTATAATTTCCTGGTATATCACGGTGCGACAATTTTCATTATTTAGAATCAAATGAAAATGTAAGCATGATCAGTAGGTTACCCATCCATATGGTCTAGTATTAAAACAAATCGTTAACCTTACTATGGTAAACAATAATATTATTTTATTCATTTGACCATCCTTTTTATATAATACCTTATCAATTTACACACATTTTGGCAATTTCAATCTGCCAATCTTACCAGAGAAAGGATTAAGATCATTATAACCCTTAATTAATATACTTAATCGTATTGGCAATGTCCACAATATTCCACAACGACGTCATCCAAGACTTGAATCCGTTCTTAAATGAAAGGATCTACCATGACTCATTTAAAAAGGATATCAATTCTATACATTTTTGTTATATCTAAAATATCATTACTTTTGTACTCAAAATAGCAGATGAATACTGTAATGCAGTACATAAATCATTTAATTCAACTTAATTGTTTAGTTTCAAACATTGCCATTTTTATTTCACACATTCCTTAGTTAATAAAGAAATATTCAAACTGCGTAGTAACCTGAATTTTAAATACGTGTTGAATATAAAATTATACGACTTTTAATAAACATGTAATAATGTATCAAAATCTATAAGAAATAAGGTAATATTTTATATATAGTTCAGTCATTCACGCTCATAAAACCTCTCTTACAAAATAATTTTATTTTTAATGATCCAATATTAAGCAATATTAATAATAGAAATATTTTGATTAGATGGACTCGAGAACTTGGAATAATTGATAATTAAGTACGTTTTATAGGAATATTTTATTATTTTCCAGGAGAATTAATTGCTTTTTGCAAGCATTGAAGTTTTGATTACTTATTGAATTGTGATTTTATTTTTGTTGACATTCGTTATGTTCTGTTTTCATCCGACTTATATTTTTGTTGGCCAGTGATCTATACATCAGTGTATTAAAGCAAAGAACGAGATATTTGTTAATATTTAATGCCATTTGGTCAGCCATTTTAAATGCGTTTAACATACGATTTAAATTTAGTGACTTTGTTTTTGCTCACATTATCAAATTCATTTTCCATTTAACCAAGTTGAACTCTATTAGATGCTTATTAATTTGGTAAAAAAGATTGTAAGATTTTAAATATAATCTTTGAAACATAATTAAGATCTTTAAATGTAAAACATATAGTAAAGTAACATATAGTTATTACATCATATTGACTTTAAGATATGCTCTTGACAAAAATTAGAAAATGCAATTGCTTTTATGAAAAAATAATTGGCTAATAATTAAAAAATATGCAAATTATAATATTGGTTGCGCTTGTCAAATATAAAATACTTTTAC